GTCATGGAAGAGCAGTGTGGAGAATATGATAACCCTTGTTTTTTGTAAACATGCATATTCCCTGAGGAAGATGGACTTTGGGCTTTGGCTGGTTTCTCTGCTTTCCCATGGGGAGCAAAGATAGCTACGGGGCAAGGTGCATCCCAGCGCAGACCTCGCGCAGTTGTCTCTCTTGCTTCATGTTGAAGTGGCTGGAGCTGCCTTAACAAGAGGGAAGTCAGCAGCAACACGTCCGCTGTGTAGCTGATGCACAAACACGTCTGTAAAAAGAGACCTCAGCCTCCTTGTCTGTGGGCTCAAAGACCATCTGGCCATCGAGCAAAACGAGAATTTAGCCTCTCTGTTCCACGCCGTGTCCCCCACTTTTTTTTTTGCGCTTTGCTTTTTTGCCTTTTTTTTTTTTTTTTTTTTTTTTTTGAAGAGCAATGAAAGGACTAAGCCGCTGCCATAGCCCTGGTCACTCCCTGTGGATGACTGGAACAGCCGCCCACTGAAGGCAGCGCAATGGTGGAGGATGGGCTGTCGAGTGGCTCAGCTGTTGCTATAACGACAGCACCTCGGTCTCATTTCTTTTGAAAAATGATTTGCTGCTGGTGGGACGAAGCGGAGCAGCTTCTCCCCGCAGAAAGCTGAAAGCTCTGCTGACAGCCTCAACACTCTCTTGTTTATGTATTTGGTCTGCCGTGGCATGTCCGAGCAGCTCTGCCAAAAATTTCAGGATGGGTTGGATTAGACCATTTGGGTCTGCGTGTTTGCGTGCACTGCCTCTGTCCCCCCATCTCTTCCCCAATCAAGAGTTATTTAAAAAGTCAACCTGCCAAAGTTTGACCTTTTCTTGCTCTGCAACTAGAGTTTCTCCAAAGGCATGTAAAGAATAGTGACTCCTGCTTCACTCTCTACTGCTTTGGGGTAGAAACCTGCTGTGAAATGTAGCTCCATTCAGCCAAATATTTTGTGTGAATAAAGCTAAAGGCCTATGAAGCTGGCAAGGGTTTTATTTTATTTTAATATTTTCCTTTTATTTTATGCATCAAGAGTCTTCTGCTCCTAGACATAAATCTCTAAGCTGCTGCTAATATCTTCATGATGCATACTGCAAATTGCATGCACAAGCTATATACTACTACTTACAAGGAGAGGGAAGATATTTTACAGGAGAGTATTTTACTTCAGGCATTGTGTTTACAAAGGGAAGGGGAACTGCTGGGATTTTAGTCTGACACACTGTGGAGTCCTGGTGGTGGTCAACTGTTTGCCAGTATATGGTCAGCGTATGATATTGAAGTCATCCTACAGTTGATCTAGTGATGGGGGATGAAATCAAGATATGAAAATGAACATTTTCAATGAAATAATTTGGTAAGAGTATATCTCTGTTGTATCCCAAAAAGAAGTGCATCTGTTGTTACGGCTCCCAACCCCTGCAAAATGCAGGAGCCGAGGTGCTTCTCCACCTGCAAAGGTGGAGAACCAGCATGTTGCCTTCAAACAAACCTTTCATGCTATGTTTTTGTCTAACCTACAGTTTTTCAATGAGCAAACAAACAAACAAAAAAGATTAGTTTTTTCCTAGTGCCTGTTAACCCCCCCAAATTGTAAAGCCTCTGAAGGAAAATAATGTGGAGCTACAAACTTAGAACAGGTTTTATTTTGGTTTTGTTTGCAACAAGGCACAATTTCTGCACGTTTTATGTTTGATGGAAAATAGTTTACATGTTAAAGCTCCTTTTGCTGTAATGCATGATAAACACAATTATGAATATTTATATACTGGGCCTGCTTTTAGTTTCACTGAAGTCACTGTATATTTGTACAGGGGGACATCCAAGGTTCGGCACATGATGAAACTTCAGGCGCTGATATTTTTAGGGCTGGTTATTTGCCACTAGATAGTTTTGATTCTTTTGGCAAATATTCATGTACAAATAAGGTGGTGGATTCAGGATAAATTAGTAAACGATGTGAAACCTAAAAGTGTGAAATGTTGTGAAAGTGTATCACTCTTACCGGTATTCTGTAAGGGGTACCTTCAAACTCTTGTGAAATGTATGGAGTCAGTTCTCTTGTATTTCTCAGGATATAATCACTCTCACTGATCCCGGACTTGTCATTAAGACAAATTCATTTTTTTCCCCTATCTATTCCTTATATGAACTTTTCTTCACGACTAGAAACCTGTCACCAGGTCCTTTGGCATGCCTGTTCTTACTTTAGCCCAGCATTTGGCCAGTATGAACTTGGGGCAAAAGGCCATTGCAAGATTTGGACATTTCCTTGAACCCTGTTTTTGTGTGTGTGCGCCCACTGAACCTGGCCTGGAGTCACTTGCCGCTCAGTGACTTTTTTTCTGTTGTGGAAGGCAAAGAGGGATAGTGACTTTGTAGTGAGACAGCTTAGGAGCTGAAATGGGGATAAAGCAGTATTGTAAATTGTGTGAGTGGCCCATTAGGGGCAATGTTTAAATATGCTATTTTAAGCCATTGTATCAACTGTGTTACTGACTACCTGCACTTGAGGCCAAATTGTGCTCTTTCTTTTCTTGCTCTGAAGAAAGGAAACTTGGAAGTGACTGTGCTCCTGTACTTGTGTGCCATTACCACATCCGTATCGTTCTTTCCTTGTCTCCGGGTTCTGAACCAGGGTTATATAAAGATCAGTGAAACAAGCGCAGTGGCTCCGCTGTAGTCTTCTGCCACACACCAGTTACACCGGTCAGAAAGCAGCAGGAAACTGTAACGCTGTATTGGTGACATTCAGCTTAACATGGGTTTTCAGGGGAGGGAGGCAGCGGAGACGAGAGCTGTATCGTAAGACTCCTTGTGGGATCTGATTTTTCTCCTTCGCGCTAGTCCTGGGTGTTGACTTACCTTCTGCATCGCTGTGAAGCGGCACAGATGAGGCAATTACCACCCCTAGGCAAGCACCTCTTGCTAGGGCTTACCGCTTCCATGGCACGGTGGGATGCAAAGGTGATGCCTCTGCTGTGGGGCTCCGTGCTCCTGCAGATCATGGCTGATTAACGTGACTGTGCTGGGCTTTAATTGAGAGAGCGCTGGTGCGGTGTGTGCTCCCGCCTGCATCTGCCGCCATGTGCCCGACCCCTCTCCATCCCCGGGCATCTGTGGAGCTCGTTGGGGTAAGAGCTGCTGCGGTCGGGTGAGGAGTGGGAGCCCAGTGATGGGGACTCTACAAGTGCAGTGGAGTGGCCCAGAACATGCTCACGGCCCTCCTGACCCCCAGAAACCAGGGGCGGGGAAAGACTCGGGCTACGAACAGCTCTCGTGGAGCTGTGCAGGCACCCTGCACCAGAGGAGGAGGCTGGTCGAGCAGCAGTCTGCGTGTGGCACCGTAGAGGCCAAGAGGAGAAGGAGTTGCAGCCTGTGGGAGGCTTGGCATGCGCTGGCTTTGTGCAGGGGGGACAGGCAGCAGAGTCTTGAGGGCGTGTGCCAACAGGGACCCGCTGGTGACTCTTAGCCACATGTTAATAATTTTCCCACATAAAAACGCTCTTCTGCTCCAGTACAAATGAAGTCGTTGACTGTCTGCTTAAGGACTCGTAGACTTGCCTTTCTGCTTTGTTAAAAAGGTCACATCTCTGCAGAGGACCAGCACGTAGCTTAGTGTCCCACGCGTGTTCAGCTGAGACTACAGCGACGAGTGCGTTGGCCATGTCCTTCTGCCTTGCATGCTGAAGAGGCTGTGCAGGCCTGAAGGGCAAGAGAAGGGCACAGCCTTCTTGGAACTGCTCCCTCTAAAATGGGGATGAGATATGGATTTGCTTGCCTGTCTTATGCAGGGGATGAAAGGGGAACTAGCGCTCTGGGGTGGGAGAAATAAATGGGATCTGGATTGTGGGAAGAAAGAAGGTTGAGAACCTCTAGGTTAGGGAAGGGGTGGGAGCTGTGAGTCTGGGATTTTCATACCAGTAAAAATACTTTAAAAATTGATAAAATCTTTCAGTATTTTGTCTTCTATTGTTCTAGTATCAAGGATGCAAGTGTGTCCTGAAGGCGTTCGCTAGAGCTGTGACCTCTTTGCTTCCTCCCCTACCCACTATTGTTTTTTGCCTTAGCCAGAGAGGGATGCTTTTTTTAGCCTGATACATAAGCAGAGGACTTAATGTTTGGTGTGATAGAAGAGGACTGTATGTTGTTACAGTGCTCTGCTCTGCTTCTTTTAACCTGAATTAAAGCTTATATTAATACACTTTTAAAATAATATTCTTATATTCTAATTTAATTGCTTTCCTGGAGATTTGTCTTGCTATCATTTCTTTTAGTTATTTACCTTTTACATTAGCTCCTAGCACACAGGTTATTTCCTTTTTTTGTTATTTGATGCAAAGTGCCTTCTATTTGTTAGGGTAGGTATGTTTTTTTCCTCACTTAAAACTGATTCTCAATATATTTTGTAGCCAAGACCAGAGGGCTAATCAAATTAAACTATGTTAATGAATTTTCTAAAAAAAATTTAGTGTCAACAACACGTGTTTCAGTACAACTAATCAATCAATTGTACTGTAGGTATGTTTCAAGAACCTTCTAGAAACTTCCAACAAGAAGATTTTCAGAGTAAATAGTAAATCTTAGTGTTTCTTTTTTTTGGTCTAGTTTAAGACTTCTCACTGTATTAGGCACTGCTTAAGTCTTATGACTCTGTTAGGCACCAAAAAGTTGAATTCTTCAGTTTGCTCCATAGTTTGGAGAGCACAGACTTATTTCACAGTTCTGCTCTCCTATTCAGGGGCAGGTTTGGTTTTGGTTTTTTTGAGGGGGTTGTTTTTTCTTTGTTTCTTTGTTTGTTTTCTTCCTTTTTGGCTTTAGACCATCTTCTCAAATTGATCAAGGCCTAACAAGGAAATCAAAGAAACTTCCTAATCAGTTTTTAAACCTTATTGTCACTATTAGGCTTGATGAGGAGTATCTGTCGCAAGGGTCATCAGCACTTTTTTTTGTCTCTGCAACTGGTTAATTTTTTTTTTCCTGTTGTTTTTCTTTAAGCTTCAAGAGACAGTCAAAAGGAAGTTGGAAGGCGCACGTTCACCTCTCAATGGAGAACAGCAGAATGGAGTTTGTGATGGGAGCTTTTCTCCGACTAGCAAGCGGATACGGAAGGATGTACCAGGCATTGAGGCAATCAACAGCTTGCCCAATAATTTGCCTTTGCCTGCTGTTTCTCCTCTTCATCAGCTTGACATGAAAGCTCCCCTACCCCTACAGAACAGTGCAACTCATGGTAGTGGTCTAGAAGACTTGGGTAAAAACGGTGGACTTTCTGAGATAAAGCTCCCTGTTAATGGTTGCAATGAGCTAGACGATGGTTTTAACATCCTGCAGAACAAGGAGCTAAAGCAAGAGCCTTTGGATGACCCCAGCTGCATAGACACTTCTGAAACATCTCTTTCAAATCAGAACAAGCTCTTCTCAGACATTAACCTGAACGATCAAGAGTGGCAGGAGCTAATAGACGAACTGGCAAACACTGTTCCAGAAGATGATATACAAGATTTGTTCAACGAAGACTTTGAAGAGAAGAAGGAGCCGGAATTTCCCAGGCCTGCCACAGAGACTCAAGAAAGTGCAAGCGTGAAGAGCGATCCATCTCATTCTCCATTTGCTCATGTCCCATTAGGGTCTCCCCAGGTGAGGCCTTCTTCCTCCGGTCCTCCGTTTTCAAATGTCTCCACAGCTTCTAGCATAGCTTCTGTGTCCAGCGCCCCGTCAGCCCCAGTCGCCGCCGGCTCACCAGCAAACTGTGTTGTTCAGTCACCTCAAACTCCTAGCCAGGCACACACTCCAGGCCAGACGCAGACGCGATCTGGAAATGGCTACCTTATGAATCCAGCAGCAGCAACTGTGGCGGGATCAGGGCCTGGGCCTGTGAATATGCCAAGCGCTGACTTGTCTCCAGCTGAACAGCTCAAGCAAATGGCAGCCCAGCAGCAGCAAAGAGCTAAGCTCATGCAGCAGAAGCAGCAGCAGCAGCATCCAAATCAAGCCTCAAGCTGGTCACCTGTGGGCCCTCCATCTAGTCCATACGGAGGACCCTTCAGTGCAGACAAACCAAATAGTCCAATGATGTATCCCCAAGCCTTTAACAACCAAAACCCAATAGTGCCTCCTATGGCAAACAATCCACAGAAGACCACAATTAATAACTACCTCCCTCAAAATCACATGAATATGATCAGTCAGCAGCCAAATAACCTGGGCACAAACTCCTTAAGCAAACAGCCCAATATGCTTTCTTACGGCAACACCAAACCTCTGACCCACTTCAATGCTGAGCTGAGTCAGAGGATGACCCCGCCAATGGCAAATCCCAGCAAGAACCCCATGATGCCGTACATCCAGCAGCAGCAGTCCCAGCAGCCGCAGATGCAAGCTCAGATGGCGCACCTGAGCGAGGAACAGAAACGCATGCTCATCATGAAACAGAAAGGAATGATGACCCAGCCTATGGCGTATGCAGCACTTCCTTCCCTTGGTCAGGTAAGCGTGAGTGCGTGATACGTGGGCAACCAAAAAGAGGCTGATATGAAGGCTTAGTAACTCTTTGTGTGGTCTCTTTCTCCTGGGAAGTATGGAATGTCATTGCAGACTCTTCTTGGAGTTTTCATGTGGTTTTGGAGCTTGATCGTTTTAAGAAATTACTGAGATGATGTTCATTATGCTTTAGAAATGTTGTTAAATGGCTGTGTTTCTGAACTAGCAGTCGTTCCCTGTACTTTACTGATGAGTGCTTAGGGTCACTCTTGGAAGTTTTGGGTCGGAAGTGGACCTCCTTGGAGGGTTTGTTTCCTTTTTGTCATAATGTAAGACTTGATACTTTTGGATCCTAAACCACTGCATGGCTTAGTTTCCAGAGTGTAGTTCGCATTGTAACAAAAAGAGTGGTTGGCCCCTTCTTCTTTGAGGCAGGGATCCAGCCAGCTTTAAACAGCATCTTTGGCATTTTGGCTTAGGTAACAAAGGAAGGACATTTTGGGTGCTGAGTGCCTTTGGTTTCCACTGGAAGAAGTAAGCACAACTGATTGCTTTTAGTGGTGCTTGAACCATGCGTGAAAGGAGATGGTTTATTCCAGGACTTTCAAGCAGTCTTTAGCAGCCTCAAGTATTTTATTGTTATGAAACTGTAGAGTCTTTTAGCAAGAGGCTAAAGCCATGTTGGCTTGAGTGACTTGGCATCACTGTGTCACATACATTCCATGCTAACCTCTGGATCAGTAGCTGGCAGGCTTGGGGAATGCTTTGGAATGAATTAATAACTGATTTGAGTAACGGTTATAGTAATGCCCTGTCGCCTCTGAGGTCAGCTGGGTATTCTTAGTTGCACAGCCCTGTAAAGATCTGCACACTGGTGTCACGGAAAGGCTTGAGAAGAAGTTTTCTGAATGTTGTTTTAAGGGTTTTAAAAACAATTAAATTAAGTTAATAATTAGTTCACAAATTAGGCAATGCCTTCACAGAAGGTATGTGCCACCAAAACATGTCAGGAATTCTGATACAATAGGACAGTAATAGAATTGTTGGTTGATAGATTTAGCTAACAGCTTTTTACCAAATGAGCTGTTTCCACACCACCTACAAGGAGTACATCCTTCTGAGTATTGTTTAACTGTGACTCACACCGTAATGCATGTAGAAATACAGAAAAATTTGTCATTTCTTCAGCCTGTGGAGTTTGGGGATCTACCAATAGGAGGAGCAGGAGCTTTACCAGGTCAGAGCCCATCACATTGTTTAAAATTAATTGCAAAACAAAAAGAAATGTTCATCTGCCTCCTGTTTTTGGTTCAGTATGTATGGTGACAGCTCAAAGGGTCGTATCTGTGTGTGAATTCTAATGTTGCATTAGAAATAGCTGGTCTAAAGCCTCTTCTTTTTGTGAAGACTATCTAGAGAAATACTGTGATAATGACATAAAACTCAGATTGTAATCTGAGCTACAGAATTTGTCAGGTTATAACTGAGAGGCAGAGGATATTTGGTCAGGCTGTCTAATGCTCTATTGTTTCTTTTCTTTGTTTTTGTTAAATGTGTTGAACTCAAAGAGCCATCAAACAGTTGAGAGGACAAACTGTGTATGTGAAAGAGTTAATGTCATCTGCTCCATTTCATAAGTTGAGAAATTCATGTTAATATCTCTCTGCAGTTCTCCAGTGTGAACAGGAAGCCAAGATTCCATGTATCTAATCTCATTCAGTTCCTTTTTTTTAATGTAGGAAAACCTAGATATTTGGATACAGCTAGACATTCTTCCAAAAACAAGGCCAGATATTAAGTGATTTCGGTATCTTATAAAGAAGAAACTTAAGGCAAAGCCATACTTTGTTATATGTTATGTGCAATTCATGTTTGTTGACCCAGTCAGGTTGAGGGACTTCTTGCTTGTATGTAGATGTAGAAAGGTCCCTTCACTGCTTGTGCAACCTGCTTGTCTACACTGAGGGGATTTTTGTTTGGTGAGGAAGTTTGAAATAATAGGTTTCTGTAATGTATTTCTTTATTCCTTCCCTTCCTGCTTCCCCGAGAAGCATTTTTCTGTGGAAAATGGTAAAGCTTATTATTGTGAAATGTGCTTGGTGGAAACGGATTGTTTTTTGCAGATGTGGTAAGAACGGTATGTTGATATCATTGAGTTAAATCCAGACTGATGCAGATTATCTGATTCTGCTACTTACTGCACGATGTTGATGGTCAGACTTGCCAGATCATTTATGGAAAATACGGAAATTGCACTCTTCAGTTTGAAACACATTTCTGATTGTAAAGTGAATATATCTGTCAGTCAGTTTATAATTTCTACTTTGATTGTAGTTTTGGTCTTTGACACAGAATTGTAGAAGTGCGTGTGTGTGTGTGTGTGTGAGAAATAATCATGAGGATTTAATAAATGGCATTTAAGGGGAAAAAAAATATCCAGCTATTGCATCTCGTGATTACCACTGACCATGTATTTCTGTCAGGTGACTATTACAAGGGCATATTAGAGAATCAGAAGGTGATTTAGGGAATGTCAGACATGTAGAAAAACACCTGGTCGTATTTTCTGTGTACTGCTGCAGAATTCAAGTATGGCTAATTGTGTGCATACATGCACTACGTACACTGATGAAACCCATGTCCACTTGGGCCTAAGGTAGTTCTGTTGTTAATAAGCAGGATTTTTACATGCACTCATTGCTTCAGTTGTTGAGCGTACTTTAGAAAGACACACCATTTCTTCAGTCCAGCTGGGAGCTTGCAAATGCTCTGTGGAGGTCAGTTGCCCCTGACTGTCCTACTAACATGTCAGTGCTGGTGCTCTGCGCTTGTGTCCTGGGCTTGCCAAGCATCACTTGCATACTCTCATAAAGAGAGGTGAGCAGCGAGAGAAGAAGCCATGCAGCTCAATATCCATGTGGGTGGTTGGACAGGCAGAGTGCTAAATTAGCAGCTTACGTAGCAAAACTAGTATCCAACAAAAGTAGGATTTCTTTAAAGGCTTTCTACGCTGGTGGTGTTGAAACTCTTCCTGCCAGATGTGTTAGTCCTTTGCTTTGCTGTGCAGATCCAGGACTGGTACTGGCACTGTGGTTATTACGCTGATGCTGAACAACCCATGTGCCCTGAACCACGATGTCATCTGTTTTATACTATAGCTTGTTCTCTTCACAGGAGCACTGGATTTGGGGTATTTGTCTGTTTTTCCACGAAGCAGATACTTGTTTGGATTTTGGAGTTGGTAATTTTTCCAGGGTTAGCCCAAAGATAATTCAGACCGCTTTTTGTGGAATTGACTGTTAAAACCATGGTCGGATGCTGACCCATGTACCTTCAGCAAGGCTCTGTCCTGCTACTGGTGTTCCCTCATGCCTGCCCGTTCTCCACTTTGTCAGGCTTGTACTTAGAAATCTCTGCTCTTTGCCTTGCCCCATGCACCCTGATCTGCCCTAAAACCAATTGGTGGTTTGTGAGTATGTGGCAGGTATTGCCCTTCAGCCTCTTCCTTTTCCTGGCTGGTTCTTTCATTCTTGCTTATCTGTGGCTATGGGCTAAAACAGCAAGTACAGATTTTCACTGGGGCTGGTAACTTGTTAGGTATTTGAGGGCTAGAGGTCCGCTGCTATTCTGGTTCCCATGTGATAATAAAAGAAATTGGTTTCACACCAAGATGCAACAGGGGCTTTGTTTAGGCCTTTTATGTGATTCAAGAAAAAAAGCAAGCAAGCGTAAACCAACATCCTCCCTCAAAAATCAGAGCTTTGTTTAACCTAAAATGTTCCATTTAGTTTTTGAGGTATATGTAAGGTTTTATGGGAGGCACTTTTTTCCTTTTCTTTTTTTTTTTTCCCCCTTTAAACCAAAAAGTAATTTCAAATCGGGGAAAAGTAAAAACATTTTCTTTGGAAAATTTCAAAATCATTAATTGTGCCTTTTCTTGGTTCCAGCTGTTCAATATGTATGCACGATGGTAAGAGAAAAAAGCAACCCAACAGAATAGATGTTGAATGGCTGAGACAGAATTTGATGTTTGGAGCCAAGTGAGTGAGGAGAGTAATGAGAGGTTGAAACAAAACAGAATTCTCCGTGGGTGTAAGAAAAATAAAACTAGACTGCAGCTCTTTGCCTGCATGGGACTGCGAGGATGCTGCAATTATAGTTCCTATTGAAACCACTAGTTACGTTGTTTGAAATTGGGGGGATGTGAATGAAGAGGAGAAATTACACCATTCTGGAAGAGTATCTTTATGTTCTCTTTTCTGTCTTTTGTTTTAATCTTATAAATTCAAGATGCATTATATGCTCAGCCCAGTTTTAGATGTGAAGGATAAAGGGAGATCTGTGTCCAGAGAACATCTCCAAAAGTTTGTTAGTGGAATTGTAAAACGTTGTATACTTTTTTGAAGGTTATCTTTGGGATAGTGAGAAAAAGAGATTGTTGATGTTCTGGGATTTGGCCCTTTTTAAAAGCCTACCTGAAAGTAAAGAAGATCTACAGATTTGTAGTCACTGCATGGAAGTGTGGCAGAAACACAACTGTCTTACCAGATTTTAGGGGAGACAAGCTGGAATGGAAGTAAAGACTGAGACTGTGAGGATCACTTGCTGAACAGTCTGTAGAGATGTAGTGAGCACCCGTCTATGCTATGTTTGACTCGTAGACACTGTTTTCCACAAAAGGTTTGCCCCGGAGTTCAGATGTTGTGCCTGGCTTTTACAAATGCCAAAATTTGCTCCCCAGAAACCAGTCTTCCACAGACTCCTAAGGACAGACAGGTAATTGAAATGTGCTCGGATGGGTTCCGACCATCTCAACAGGCGATTTGTAAGCAGTAGCCTGGGCTTCTTACTGTTCCTGCTGTCATCTGCCCATTGCGTTGGGAAGGAGGTCATGTTAGCTAAGAAACATCACTAGAAACAAATGTTGGACGGCACTTGGCTAGGATCAGATCTCCATGGCATATTCCTGAAACCCAAATTTTGGCTTGTTGGTATTCCTCACTTCG